TACAATCCTATCACTAAGGAAAGAAATAATTTACATAAAAACATAATAAACTAAGAATCCCAAGATTACAGGAATATATACACAAAAGTCAACGCTGGCACTACAAGAAAAATGGGCTAAGAACACAATTGATATGTGCCCTTTGCATTTTCATTGAGCACAAAAACATATTTGTGCTTTTTAAGTTCCATTGAGCACCAAAGTATCTCAAATGTGCCCTCTAACAAATAAGCACATTAGTTTGTGTCATGTAATTGTGCCTACAAAAATTTGAAATGTCCTTTTAAATGTTAGAGAGAGATTTTTTTTTTTATTAATTTACACACACACAATAAAGGTTTTTGTGCCCTCTAATTGAATATATTTAAATAAAAAAATATGTTTTTGTGCCCTTTACATTTACCTTTTTCCCTATTCCCAACTCCCTTACACTCTTAATTATTTAAAACTAAGCCAACAAAATAAAAAAAATAAAAAATCAACAGTCATCATTGCACCAGAGTTTTATGTGGGTATTTTACTAATACGTCGACAAACTTAAGTCATTACTTTTTGTAATATGTTTGCTTAACAAAAATGGGAAAATGAAGAAATCGAAAAGACTTACCATATCCAAATTCATTCCTTTCTTTTTCAAATCGTTGATTGTATCTCGTCAATGGTCAATTGGTCATGAATTTGACCAAATCCTTAGAATTTGTAAAATTAACCATCGACACAATGATTTTAGCAAGATTCTTGTACTCCTAATATACATTCCCAAAATTTGGCTTAAAGAATGATAATTTTTCGGTGTGCCCGAAACACTGGATGATAGTCATTATTAAGTAGAGGGAAGTTTTATTTTTAAAGTGTCCCTCTACTTATAATGACATACGGTGTATGAACCTATGTTTCAAATACAATGAATATCTCCTAAAGAACTGCTAAGTTAAGTAGCTAAACAAATAGGAAAGTCCATGCAATTTTGCACGCATACCTTACTTCCGTTAAAAACCGCATTGACGAGAGTCTCATACAATTAATGGCAGTCTGCAGATGAAGAAATAAACACCATGGTAGTCTGCAAACGAAGAATAATTTAGCGAAATCGGAATTTGACACACTTTTTTTTATTAATGCACATTCATGTTTATAAATCATTTCGATTCCACAAAATAAAGAAGAATTAATAGACAATTTTTATTTACAGGTGTGTAGAAATCATTTCTTTAAATTTATTCCATTTTATAAACAACATCGTCAAGCGGTGCACTCAAATGACACAATTTGAAAATAAATGCCCATTGAATATTAATAATTATAAATTTCCTTTTTGTGACATATTTTAAAAATTGTGTCCAGTAAATAGTAAAAAATAATAAATCATTCCACTTTCCATACAAAAAAAAAACATGTTTGCACAATTATGATTTGTGCACGTGAATTATTTTAGTATTATTTATGTTTGAGTGGTGTGTCGTGGGACCCACCCACCTGTGAGTCCCTCTTCCCCGTGCAAACCCCCTCATTTTCCACTCTCTTTCTGCCATCCCCATCCCCCACACTCAAACTCGAATCCCTCATTTGAATTTTTTATTATTAATTTACAGCATACAATATGGGCTTTTGTGCCCTCTAATTGAATATATTTAAATAAACAAATATGTTTTTGTGCCCTTTAAACCAGATTCCACTTATCTGGTTCCTTTACACTCATTAAATTATTTAAAATTAATTTTTGACACCCCATGTGGGTCTTCACGCCTTCCTGTGTATCACTATCTTCTTCACTACAACACTCTTTCGTCTCTCATTCACACAACCCTTCTCTTATGAACTCTCTCTACTTCTCCACTCTATTCTCTGTAATATCCCTCACCATCTCTGTGCTCACTGCACAAAAAATCGCAGCACCATCTCCACCTCATTCGCCACTCTGGTGAACCTTGCCACCACCCAAACACCACACTGGCACACACACTCTCTCTCTCCTCTCTCCCCCTATCTCCCCCTCTCGGCTTCTTCCTTGACAGACAAAAGCACATAAGGAATGACGGTGGGGGAACTGCCATTCTCTGGCGAGGCAACCACCAACTTTATTCCTCTCGTCACCACGGACTCCCATTACTTTTTGCTTTCTGGAAACCAAAATCGACGCGGTGAAGTGACGAGCTCTGTCGCGGCCTGACTTCCCCGATGAGATTTTCCGTTGAATCTAGTATAGGTGAGTCTCGAAAACACCTTAGTTAGGTTCTCTAGGTTGTTTAGAAACGTTTTCATGCACTAGATGCCTGATTTGTTTAAGGTTGGATGCAATTTCAACTCGGGATAAATTCCCCAGATTTCCGGTGAGGCCCGCGAGTTTCAGGCTGATTTTAGGCTATCACTGGCCGCCGAATGGCCGTGAGGAATGTATATTTTGAATCCTTACCTTCGTAACTTTTTTTGGGCTTTTGAATCACTGAAAATGATTTTGTTTTGGGAACGAATTCTAAAACCCCTGGTGTAGCTGCATGGGATGGCGCGTGGAGCTGTGTGTGGTACTGCTGGGGATGGCACGTGGTGCACAGACGCCTTCACCGAAGGATGAATGGCTGAAAGGAAGAATATACGTTTGAAATCATTACCTTGTTTTTTTTCTTTAATTTATAATGTTGATTACTTGGTTCAGTCTGATTTGTCAAGAAGAGAAACTATGAGCAATATTTTCCTCTATTCAGATCTGGTGTTTTCAAATGTTTGTTTCAGGTTGTAATGTGTTACGATGTTATTTAAAAAAAAAATTTCTTTTTTTTTTAATATTTTACTGATAGGGCATAATTACAAAAATTGTGCTAACATGAATTTGAAATGTCACCTAACATATGTGTCGGAACAGGGGCACAAAAATACCCTTATCTGTGCTCAACCCTTTGAGCACCAATAGCCATATTGTGCTCTCTAATCAATGGTGACGCCCATAGAGGGCACAAATACAAATTTAGTTGTTGCATCGTTGCTATTGCTCTATGGGCACAATTGTTGGTGCTCTTTAGCCTCAAATGGCACATATAATTTATTGTGTGCAGTGCCCATTTTTGTTGTAGTGTGGTCCTTTTAACTTTGTGCCATTTTTTGTATTCGTTCAACCAAGTTCGTGTATTGCTATAAATATCCAACGGATCTAGAGCTGAACCACTCCACACAAAGGAATTGTGTTCCTTCCAGATACTCCATACAATAGCCAATGACATATCAAAGCTCTCCCTTGTCAACGAAGCCGCGAACTCCCCCAGCCATTCACGCATCTTGCCAAGTCTATCCCTGTCACTAAAAACTATTTTAGTGAAATTGCTTTGGGTTGCAAAAGCACTTTAAGTGCTTTTTGAAAGAAGCACCATATATATGCTTCTTACAAGAAACACTTAAAAGTGTTTGTTCAAGATCTACTAGGATTTTATTAAGAATTGATTTAAAAACATTTTCTCCAAATTTGTTTTCAAGTCATTTTAAAATCACTTTCAAACGAGTTCTTGACAAGTTGTCTAATTTTTAGTGGTTGTCTCTACACCCCTCTAGCTGAGATAAAACATGGACTTGAAGTAATTAATAGAAATCGACCCTTTAAAAAATGTATTGTATGAACGTATGAAATTTGACAAACTCATATTTACTTGATACAAGTTCTTGGATGTAATGATAATCAATCTCAATGTGTTTTATTCAAGCATAAAACACATGATTTGTTGTCAGTGATACAAAGCTATTTCCAAAACATAAAAGTTGATGGTGTGGGCAGTGTGAAACCATTATCATGAAACAACTTGTAAGTCCTGGCATTTTTATCAACATAGATAGCCAATGATCTATCCAACCTTTGTGAAAGATTTTGCAAAAATGACACTCCATCTAATCAAAATTTGGCCAAGAAATATGTAATTGTCACTCATGATCTTTTATAAAAGGGTAATGCTAGAGAGATCAAAATTTTAAATCAAATTGTGTAAACCAAATGATGTGGTTGATGATGATTGAATTATTAGTTAAGGTGGGTGTATTCAATTGAGAATGTGAGAGATTTTAATGGATTTATAAATTCATGGATTTTTATGGAGTTTAATTGATATGTAGAGACTCCATATAAAATTTTAATTCAATTCCCTTGAAATCTCATGGGAAGAGGTGAGATTTGTGGATGTTTAAAATACACTATGAAATCTCTTCAATTCCCTCTAATTCCTCAACTTTCTCAAATTCTTTAAAATCAATTTCTAATTAAATACACCTGGAATGTTATAAACTTCTTTAAAATCCTAATTGAATACACCATGATTTATAAGGATTTTAATAAACTATCTTAAAATTCTAATTGAATACACCTAGAATTTCAGAGAATCACTTGAAATCCTGATTGAATACCCCTAGATTCTATACTCTTTCCATCCTCTTCTATTTTGTGTGGTCACGGTTAAGCCATGTCAACATTTTATATTCCTATTACTTTTTGTTTTATTATTTTTATAAAAAAATCAATATAAAATATTGACGTGGTTTAACCGTGACCATACAAACAGGAGGGGATGAGAAGAGTATGAATATGGGAGGGCAGACAATCCACCTCCCATTTTCCTTGATGGAATTGTGGATGACAAATGCACGGAGGTGCCACGTTGCCTTTGGAATGAGGATCCTTTTGGGATTCTTTTGTGAGGATCCTCACGTTCGTACATCGTATATCGTGTAGTTAGAAATTATTATAATTTTTTTATTTAAAATTGAATATAAATGGTATCTAACGAAAACTAGTTGCATGATATACGATAAACGGATGTGATTAGAGGATCCTCATGATCCTCACAAAGATGATCTGGAAGGATCCTCATTATTGCCAAACGACTTTGAGTTTAGGGGGTCAATTATAAAAACTTTTAGTAAAAATGGCAAACACAGAAAAGAGGAAAAATTCAGGGGCATAAATGCAATTTTCCAAATGAAATGAAATTTAGCCTATGCTGGCTCATAAGTTTTAATCGTCCGAACAAGCCCCCACAAAATTCCGAGGAAATGAGGGTATAAAGTAAAATCCTGTCACCGTCCCATTGAGCTGCTGCTGTAGATAGATAGAGCCTAGAGGGAGACCCTTTGTCTTCTCCTTCACTGACACCTCGAGTAACCTCCTCCTCGTCCTCCTCCTAAAAGCCAAACCCTTTTAATTTCTATGGTCTTTTGAGTGAATGGCTTCATCTCTTTTCGCAAGGACTCTCCTGGGTCATCGCCTTTTGCACTCTTCCTCTCACTCTCTCTGCCAAAAGCCCCAATTTTTCACCTCCCTCTTCAATGTAAGTAGCAAGCTTCCTTTCTTTTCGTGTTTAATCTTCGATTTTGGTTTGTGGGTTTTGTTCTTTTCGATGATATGCTCATTCCCTTTTGGTTAATTTTTGGTCTTTTGGTTTTAGCCGGTCATTTTTCTTGCTCTATATATCTCAATTTTTGTATTTTGTTCATGGGTTTTAGTTTTTTCAGTGAATTGAGTTAGGAAATTTGGTCTGGAATGTTTGGGAGTGCTTTCCTGACAAGGGTTTTTCTTTGTTTGATCAGTTAAGTGATTTGTTCTGATGTTGTAGTTTACTATTGTGAAGATGTTTAGTGTGATTGTTATGTAAACGGTCTTAGTTCCTGAATGTATTCAATGACCCTAGCAGCTCCGTTTGACTCCGGTAGCCATGAACTGGAAAGAAGGGAATTTGTTGGAGTCTGCTTGTATGTTTTCTAGATTCCCCCCTTTGATTGTCGTTATGATATAAAGTGTTCGGTATTGTAGTTCTCGAAGTGATTTATTGGCTGTGTGTTTAATTAAATATTATATACACTACTTGGATATCGATTGATGTAGATTACTCTGTCTAATTTACATAACAAATTCGATCAAACCATTGAAAATCCTGTAGTTTCTTGGGCGGAAGAGCTTCCTTTAAAGATGTTTTTCTGGATTGAGTGATTACAGTGGAATCGTTGAGAAACATTTATTCTTCATAGTGTGCAAAGATTATTGCACAATCCTCTTTACCCAAAAATTCATGTTTTATTTTAAGAGGCCTTGTCCGAATCATCCACAATTGTTCGTCTTCTCAGTGATTCCATTTTGATTTGCACTTCATAACATTTGGGAAGTAGTTAACTTAATCATTAAGTTTGTTTATTAATTTGAAATACGCTCTTCAGTTTGAGCCGTTTACTAAATCTAATATTTTTTCTTATGTCAAGATTTAACATAATGATTTTTCTGTCAATGCAGAAGGGAACAGAACACTTTCAAGCTGACCTTACCTATACAAATTATAGAACATCTGCCTGGGTTCCTCGTGTTATGGCTTCATCAGTAGCTGGCGCAAGAGCTGATTTTTCAACACAATCTGTGTCTACAAAAGAGCCTGTTGTTTCTGTTGATTGGCTCCATGCTAACCTCAAAGAGCCTGATCTGAAGGTACCGTGTTTTGGCTTGTTTATACTGAACTATTTATTCATCCTCCCCTTTCTTCCACTGGAGTGTAAGTCTGGAATAAGTTGAATATATTACTAATGAATGCTTGATGCTCAGCGCTCGTTCACCTTTTATTATATGTAATTTTTTTCAATTGGTTCATAATGTATGTTGTCATCATCATGATTTTCTAATTGGAGACGGCACTTCTGTTCTGCTTTCCTATATGCTTCCTTTTTCCCTATGTATGTTGGTAAACTTTTTTTAGTTATCTACTTCAGGTGCTAGATGCGTCTTGGTATATGCCTGATGAGCAAAGGAATCCAATTCAAGAGTATCAGGTGCTCACCAAGCTTTCTGGACTGATGCTGTCATGTGATAATTCTTAATAATATCTGTATCAATTGATTCAATTCCAATCTTGTTCTAAGATCTTCATGTTATTTCATATTGCTTCATTTTCCACTACGGCTCATTTTGGTCAAAAGTAAGATGTTTTCTATTCTATGTTTCTTGTCAAAATATGATATCAGATTGCACTAGTATCACTAGCAATGAATACTAGTGTTGGATGTTGAAATCAGCAGCCTTATTTTCTTTGTTTCTTGAGCTTCATTCTGGCCCTTTTTTCACATTAGGGAAATAAGGAAGAAACTAGTATGGCCACAAAACGCCTGAGTCTATTTTCTTAACATGCCAACTATATTCTTAGCGATTTATTTCATTCCACTAGTTTGAATTAACTTAGAAATACATTCTTATTAGCCATTTTGGAGAAGAATTCAGATTATATGATTAAGCTGTTAATATTAATCTGATGAATGACTGTTGACCAAAAAAATAAATATGATGAATGATTCTTCATGTCAACAAATTCTGATGAATAGTTCTTGATGTTGTTCTTATGAGTGTGTGGGCCATAATGGCCAGGCATATACACCACTTTTCTAACTATCTTGCTCTTTCCTGTTCTCTCTTATTGAAGACTAGAATTATGACTTGTAACAGTTACTGCATATGTTACCATCAGAGGAAGCCTTTGCTGCTGCTGTTTCTGCTCTTGGCATTGAGAACAAAGATGATCTTGTTGTGTATGATGGAAAAGGGATCTTTAGTGCAGCTCGTGTGTGGTGGCAAGTTATGGAACTGATTCGGAAGATTTAAAGTTTTAACTCATCTGAAATGTGATAAAAAATTGTGTTTTGCGCTTTTTCATTGTGTGACAATCTAATGTTTCATTTCCTTATAAAAATGAAAGGATGTTCCGAGTATTTGGCCATGACAGAGTTTGGGTTTTAGATGGAGGCCTGCCAAGGTGGCGTGCATCTGGATTTGATGTTGAATCTAGTGCCTCTGGTGATACAATTTTGAAAGCTAGTGCTGCCAGTGAGGCAATAGAGAAAATATACAAGGGACAAGCAGTAAGTTCATTATATACTTGTCTCTGAAAACAGTTATGTTTTAACACTGACTGAGATTTTGGAATTCTCTGACTCCAAAAGCCATTAGCATATGGTTATGGTTATTACAGTATGTTTTGTGAAATCTAGATGTTGTTCTTTTTATTTATGTTTTTCATAGTTTATTGTGGACGCTTAAGCCAGGATAAATGTCTTAAATCATAGGTTCTCTCTTTATTTTTCACTTCCTCAATTCTTGTAGTGTCTGTTTGCAGTCTACTTTCTCTATACCTTGTACATTGTAGATTTCTTGAGATCTAGAAAATTGCAATTCTCTCCTCTAGTGACATAAGTAAAGAAATTTGGAAGTTTGATGGGGGGTTGAGCTGTTGAATGTTATCCTAGAGTTAAGAACTTTAGTTTTCCATTCTTTGGGAAAATGAGGGTGTAGGGTTCGGTCAGTCCTTGCAGGTCCCATGTCGACTAAATTGACCTTGTCTGACGTGACACTTTTCCTAAGTTTTTATGATAACATGTGATAGTTTTCAAGGCTGCTTGTGATGGTTTTGGGGAAGAATTTTTGTTCTGCAGGTTGGGCCCACCACATTTGAGACTAAGTTTCAGCCACATCTTGTCTGGACTCTTGATCAGGTTTGGTTTCTCTATCTTAATTGACTAGTAAAGGTGCATATCTTGAATTCAGCCCTGAAATTTGTGGCAAGTATGGGTTTTCAACTGACAAATTAACCAATTCTGCTACCTTTGTTTTTTATACTCTTGTTTTATACTTCCTACTGTATTTTTCAGGTTAGAAAAAATGTTGAGGAAGGAAGTCACCAACATATAGATGCCCGATCAAAGGCCAGGTATTCTTTATGCTATATGAAGCTTGAGTAATTCTTGGTCTGTTTTATTTTCCCGGTAATTGTGTAAGGGCTGGTTTGGTATTGCTGTGCATTGAAAAAAAGCTGTTGTGAGAATAAGCGGCTATGAAATAAATCAGTAGAGTGTTTGGTAAACTTTTTTGTAAAAGTGCTTTTGGAAAAAAAAGCAGTCTGATAGTGGGTCTTTTCATTAAAGGAGCACTGTAGCTCCGTGTGCTTTGAAAAAAAGCCAGTTTTCCAAAGCTGCAAATAGCAGTTTCAGCTTTTTCCTTTGATTTCAGCTTATTCTCACAGCAGCTTCCAAAATAAGCCTTTTTTTTCAGTTTACCAAACACCTAAAACCCTCACAGCTTTTTTTCATGGATGCTTTTTTTTTAAGGACCTCACTCCCAAACCATCCCTAAATCACCAGCTGGAACGTATCATTCATGCATTGTGAAATAATTGGTTTGGTTAGTAATCTTGATTTAGATAAGATAACAGTATGTTGAGCACTCAAAATTTTCTCTGCCTCACACAAAGGAACTTATGCAGATTATATGGAGACATTTTATTAGAGTTCTTTTCCTATTTGTGATGTTTTAAAAAAAAAAAAAAAGAAATTAGATTACATGGTCTTTGAAGGCCTATTTTCTGATTATTGTTCTTGCATTAACAATCTTGGATTTGACGGAAATTTGGTATTGCAGGTTCGATGGAACTGCATTAGAGCCTCGAAAAGGCATAAGAAGTGGTCATGTACCTGGAAGCAAGTGCATTCCTTTTCCACAGGTAAAAAGATCAAATTCTTGTGTTACCTCTTATTCCTTTTGAAACCGCAACAAAGTCTAGTTGGGTGCGTAAAGAACGGTATGCTGCATAAGCTGTTGAGTAACAAATGGGTTCTTTCCTTGCAGTTGTTGGATTCTTCAGCGACACTCTTACCAGCAGATAAGCTGAAAGCCCGATTTGATGAAGAAGGTAATAACTTTTTTGTTTTATTATTACTTTTTTGCTGTAGTCTTAGATCTTGAATACTTTTGTATGTACCCTTAGCTGCTCTACAGTTTCCAAGCGTTGTCTCCTTTTTTAAACATAAAAACTCAACCGCAGACAAATATTTTAATTGGTCACAAGGTATCTGTCTGTTATTATTAATTAATGACCCTAACCTCATGCTGCAGGTATCTCCTTGGAAAGCCCTGTCGTTACTTCATGTGGTACTGGTGTGACAGCTTGCATTCTTGCATTGGTAATCTCTCTCTCTCTCTCTCTCTCTCTCTCTCTGCATACCCAGCACCCACTAAATTTCTTGGAAGTATTAGAGCTGCAGAGATGATTTTTTTTTTTTTTTTTTTCAATAGTTGATCATGAACGTAAACAATGGTTTTATTTTTCCAGTTACGTTCTTTTAATAAATATTTTAGCAAGGAACCATGCCGCATTTATTCCTACTTCTCGTATTCATGTGCTCTCTTTCAGGGCCTTCATCGACTTGGTAAGCCTGATGTACCAGTCTATGATGGATCGTGGACTGAATGGGGAGCGCAGTCCGACACACCCGTCGACAGTTCTACAGAAAGTGCGTAATGGAGCGGTATTGCCGGACGCTAGTTGGAACCATGAACAGCCTGGGGTTTGCCCCCAATACTCAGATTACAACGAAAGAGGTTGCATCTCAATTAAGACATCCGGTATAAGTCATGCTATCGAATTGCAACCTGTGTTTTTCTTGTTAAAATCTCAACCTTTAGTCCCCTCCTTTGTTTGAACACTGATGAGAATCTTATGTGACACATGAATCAAAGCAGCAGAAATAATCCTTTGTGGTAAATATTTCAAGTCGAAAACCATGTACTCTTCCTGGCTTGATAAAGTAAATAAGTTTTGTTTCCATATTTCTTGAACTTTTCACTCTTCATTTCCTTGTTGAAGATGATTTTCGGCAATTTTTTTTTCCGTTTCCGACGCCATTACAGAAAATGGCTGCTGGATATATATTTTCAAGAGATGAAAAGATACATACGAACACCGAACAGAAACTAGAATACGATCTCGATTCGAAGAGAGAAACATCATATTTACATGCATAAAATTCTTGTCAAGTTGTAGATGTGAGCAGTAGGTTGAGATTGTTGGAGAGTGAAGGCTTTGATTGAGCATCAAAGTGTTCTGCTAGTATCGCCACAAACTTCTTTGGGACCAGGCAGTTATTCTCCAAATATAGCTTCTCTTGAAGAACAGGAGATGCAACTACTTGCAGCTCTTCAATGGGAGGAGCTTCTTTCAATTCCTGCACGCATAAGATCTTATGTTATAAACAGTTTTATAAGTTTTTCTTTTAAGCAGTTGGAAAATTATTTCCGCACGCTCTCTCGACCACTTTGACTCCTCTTGTTTTTAGCTACAAGATTGAATCGAGGAACAAAAACGAGCATGGGCGTGGAGGACAAAAACGGAGTGTGAAAATTATTTTCAAGTTAAGCAATCTAGTATCGTCTACACTCGAATTCAGGCTTCTGAAATAAGCAAAGACAAGATTGGAAAAAAGGGTTATTCAAGCAGGATTAATTGTTAATAATTATTCATTATTTTAATCATCATAATCATTAAGATAATCGGATTTACAGAAATAAAATGATAAAAAGAAAAAACAAAGGCTAAAAAAAGAGCTGGATAAATGGATTTGATGTTACGTGTACATATCTCAAATTGAAATTATTTCGAGTGTGACGGTCAGATATAAATAAACAAAGAAATAATAGTAACTAGACTTTTGGATGGTGGAAGTAAAATTTAGAAGGAAAAACTCAGGAAAATACCTTGAATGACCCCATGAGTTGAAGAATCCCAACTTGGGCCTGCAAGTACTTGACATAGTTGTAAGCAGCAGTGAGCATCTCAGCTGTGTTCATCTTACTTCCTCCAGGAACAAGCTTCCCTAGCGCTTGAGTCTTCTCTGTGATCTTCCTCCTCCTTTCTCTAGCCGCTATACTCTGAGCTGACACACATTTTTCACCCACTTTTTTCTTATTAGCAACATTAGTTATACTCTCGTGTCCATGATCAATGTTTGCTCCTGCGCTATTAGTTATATCCTCCGGAAGTTGATCGTATTTGGGAAGTGGAGTAGCAAAAAACTTGGGGACAGGCATCAACGAGGGTAGCGGACACAAATTTGGAACAAACCCATTAGAAAGAGTAAAATCCGGGTAGAAGCAATCTTGGAAACATTTTTGGCGTTTCGGGTTGGGGTAGGGATTGAAATCAGGGGCAGTGAGAGAGAAACTATTATGTGGGAGAAGAAGATGATCATCAGTAGTAGTATCATGATCATGATTTTCAAGGTTTAGAAGATCGTAGGGGTCATACCATGAATGATATTCATCAACAAAGCTGTTGGAAAAGTTGGAATTAATATTATACTCGGAATAATAATAATATTGAAGGAAGTCTGCTGTTAAGAGCTCTGCTTCCAAGTTTTGTTGGAAACAATTAGTGATCGTCATCTCTGAGTCGAAAGCCTGAGGAGGCAATGGACTCAAGGCCATGAAATATATGTGCTTAAAACCTGAAAAAAAGAGAGAGGAAGTAAAAGAAATTAGAAAATGAACACAGCATAGAGAAATTAAGTATACGTAATTAAGATTTTAACCATGCATGCATAATAAGATGTTTAATATTTCGTCCAGAAGCTGTACGTGTACAAGGCGAGTACGAAAAGGAAGTATATACATAGCGATTCGTAGATAGCTAGATTCTTGAAAAGAGAGTAAAACTGCAAGCAGTGAGAGAGAGAGAGAGAGAATTGTACCTGAGAAGATACTGTGTAAGGTGAAAATGTTGGTTGTTGTACAAGAGTAGACAGAAGCAGACCTAAACAAGACGTGAGATAGAATTACCACTAATTAACTGCTACAACTTATAAAAACCGACTTAATCCTTAATTACTTGCGAGAGAGAGAGAGAGAGAGAGAGAGAGAGAGAGAGAGAGAGAGAGAGAGAGTATTGAGAAAAAAGTGGAGGTTGAGGGTTGGAACGGTTACCAAATAACAACTTGCGCGGGAAAGTCTAGGGTTTTTAGCTTATCTTAACTGTAAGTGAAAATCGCTATACGTGGTGGCTGCAATGCCCTAACTTTTACCGAGTGCATATATAGCCTTAGGACAAAATACTATAGTTTATCTTGTTAATTTCAAGGACTGAAAATTAAAAGGATTAACATTGACCTAAGGGGAAAGGGTTTAATTACGACATCAGTATGCTTAGGTTTTTTTTTATTGCACTTGCTTAGTTAATTACATAGTCTAATTAAATATGGTCCCGCTAGCGTTATTTAGGTGCACTTTACATACGTCATACAATATTGGAACCTATGATCCAAAATGCCGACAAATTTATGAACTCAAATATATTAGATGAAGAAAATATCATTATTCATTCTAGTTTTTAATTTTGCTTACATGATTAATTAGTGTTGCTATTAGAACTACATTACTGATCACTTCTCTATTACAAGTGAGTCTCTCATACATAGGTGAAGCTCATCTCTATTAAAGAGGCCATCAATATATTTGGTACAACTATTCTTAATGATATATATGTCGAGTTAAGATTGGCCATTGCTAATTTTATCTATATGAAAATATTGACTATTAATCTATACTAATCTGAAATGGCATATACCACACAAAACCGTGATTGCCACCCCATGTATACCAGTTCAACCTTAAAATTTGGAATCTGAGATTTGTGGTGGGTATAGTGACCGAATATTGCTCTCTCACTAAAATTTGGAATCTGAGGTTTGTCAAAGGTTAATCTAGAAACATTACTTTAGATCCAAGAAATCTCACACTCTCGTTTAGAACCGTTCATTTAACACCAAATATAGAAGAAAAGGAGAAAACAGTGGAGAAAAACAGGGTCAGACTGTAAGGCCGGTTCATCTTCTCTCAATCTTCAATCTTCTCACGTCAATACATTAATTGTCCTTTATATTTTATTTTAGTTTAAAAATTTCAAAGTAAAACACAAAGTTCTATCTGGTAAAGTTCAATCATGGCAACGGGAGAGAAGATCGAAGAGCCTCGAAAGGATAATAAAGTCCCTCATTCTGAAGAACAAGAAAAAGAGTTATCCAAGGATATCCAAGACAAGGGTAATGAAGCAAAGGATTTGAAAAATGTTGGGGAAAGTGGTGAATCTAAAAAGAATGAGGATGTCACTGAGAAGGCGGTGGCCGAGGAGAAGAAGAAGAAGAATGAGGATGAAATACAGAAGAAGAACAATGCAGTTGAAAAGGGAGATGAGAAAAGTTCAACAATGGCGATAGAAGAAAAGCTAGAAAATCCCCAGGAGGATGTGAAAAATGTAGGTGAGGCTGGTGAATCTAAAAAGGGTGAGGGTGTAATTGAAAAGGAGGTGGTGGAGGAGAAGAGGGCGAGTGAAGGTGAAACGAGGGAGATTGTGGTGGAGGATAAGGCTAATAAAGGAGAAATTGAGGATGTGGTATTGGAAGAGAAGAACAATGATCAGGTTGAAAAAGTTGAGAAAAGCTCATCATTCTGGGACTTAAAAGAGCAGGAGAAAAGGGCTTTGATGGAGTTGAGATCGAAGCTCGAAAACGCAATACTTGAGAACAAGTTGTTCAAGGGAAATAAGAAGAAAATGGTGGAGCATGAGAAGGAAAAGGTATTGGAGAAGGAAGGTGGAGAGAAAGAGAAAGTAATAGAGAGTGAGCCTGTGAAGGAAGCTGGGAAAGAGAAAGAAAGTTCCGAGAAAGTAGAAGAGGTTGAAGAAAAGGGAAAGATATCTGAGAAGGCAGGTGGGGAGGAGGAGAAAATCAATGAGGGGAAAGGAGAGAAAAATGTTATGAAACAAGCTGAGAAAGAGAAAGACAGTTTGAGGAAAGTAGAAGAAATTGAAGAAAAGGGAAAGATATCGGAGAAGGAAGGTGGAGAGACGGAGAAAATAAATGAGGCGAAAGGAGATGAATTAGTCGTGGAAAAAACTGTGAAGGAGAAGGAAGGCTCTAAGGAGGTAGAAGAAAAGTTAGTAGTAAAAGAAGAGAAACATGACGGTGATAAACTTGCCAAGCAAGAAGATGAGGAAAATGCGGAAAAGGCAGAAGAAGGCCTGAAAGAGAACAACAATGAGGCTATTGATCAGGATAGAAAGCTTGACGTTATCGATAAGGATATCACAATTTGGGGGGTACCCTTATTGCCTAGTAAAGGAGATAGTGGCACTGATGTGATACTATTGAAGTTCTTAAGGGCTAGGGAGTTCGATGTCTATGATGCTTTCGAGATGTTGAGGAATACGCTCCAATGGAGGAAGGACAACAAGGTGGATTCGATCTTGGATGAAGAATTTGGTGACGATCTTGGTTCCATAGGGTGTATGAATGGTGTGGGTCGTGAAGGACATCCGGTTTGTTATAGTAATTTTAAGCTGCTTGGGGATGAAGGGGTGTATGACAAAATACTAGGGACTGAAAAGAATCGCGATATGTTTATAAGGCGAAGGGTTCAACTGATGGAGAAAGCAATTCAGAAGCTCAACTTTAAGCCTGGTGGAGCGTCCTCAATCCTCCTAGTCAATGATCTTAAGGACATGCCTGGTCCTTCTAAGAAAGAGCTTCGACATGCTACAAAGCAGGTTGTCGGGATACTTCAGGACAACTATCCTGAATTTGTTGCAAGAAATGTAAGATCCTTCTTTTCATGAGCCTTCAAATTTTCATCCATACAATTTTCTTTATATCATACCTTGCAATGCAAGTAATGGAACATTTTACATTTTGGTGTAGATCTTCATCAATGTTCCATTCTGGTACTATGCCCTAAGTGCTACTAGCGCTGTCCTATTGCCTTTCTTAACTCCAAGAACCAACAGCAAAGTTGTCTTCGCACGCCCGTCCAGGGTCACGGAAATCTTGCTCAAGTAACATCCTTAGCTTCATACATCACTAATTGTTGATTGACCTATTAGAAAGTAGTTAACTAAAACTTATGATTCTTCATTACAGGTATATAGCTGCAGAGGAACTACCGATCCATTATGGCGGGCTGAAGCGGGAAGATGAGTCTGATTTCTCAACTGAAGATGCTTCCGCAGAGATTACTGTTTATCAATCATCATCAGAAACTATTCAAATCCCTGTACCAGAGGTATGTGCACTCAAAAAAAATTATTCAATCTTGCGGCTACTATATATCAAACCCGAAACCATAATAATATGTTGATGGTTGATGCGAAACAGGCAGGAACAACTTTAATGTGGGAAGTTACCGTGTTGGGTTGGGAAGTACACTACAAGGAAGAATTCTTTCCAACTGATGAAGGATCATATGGCATTATCATTCAAAAGGGCAGGAGGGTTGGTGCGCAAGAGGGTTCTCTCCGAAATTCTTTCACGAACAACGAACCTGGAAACGTTGTTTTAACAATTGAGAACGGATCATTGATGAAGAAGAACGCGTTTGTTATCGATACAAGGTCAAGAATGGTTCTTGAGAAATTGTACTCAGTCTGAAAAGTGTTTATGAAATTGTTCAAGATAAGCAGTAGGCCTGGGAAGTCCCATACAATAAGTTACATAGGTAGCACAAGTTTTCTTTTAGTAATGACAACGTTATTTAACACAGCATGGTTTTGGCCGTGTAATTTGTGAATGTGTTTCCACTCGGAATTGGATGACATTTTTTTCTATGAATTTTTGGAGGATGATATTCATATGTAACCTTGTCGCCGGCAACAATTTTGTGTCGGTGGCGGCGCAGCCATATTTATGAATCTTCAAGTTTTGTTTGTAGATCAATTCTTGACACGCGCTATACTTCTTCTAAAATTTTTGTTAAACCCTAAACAAATTGGATGGAACTAGGCCTGATTTTCAGCCGGAACGGATCGAATATGTTTCTAAATATAATACAAAAAGTTTTGAAAATGAATTCAATTCTAATTTTGGAATCTCATAATTATGAGAGTTACATGACTTCATCAATACCAAGTTTAAAAGTACCTCATCTAAAAGTTTGATAAAGCTCTCGCCAACGATCGCGTGGCCTAATGGATAAGGCGCTCGCCTCCGGAGCGGGAGATTGTGGGTTCGAGTCCCATCGCGATCGTACTTCGTTTTAATTGTTTATTTTGCTGAGTGCAATTTCTTGTTCTTCATGTTGAAATTAAATGGGGGCAGAATTGGAAAATCAGTTTTCTTCACTCTATTCTCATTAGCAATGCTAAAATTACAAAATTTTAATTACAGTGAATTCATGATTTTTCAGTCTCACTACTTTTCTATGAAAATTTTCGAACATTTATCCTCCGGCCATAAATGAATTTTTTTTCTTAAAAAACGAGACAACTAATGACAAACCACAGTTATTTAATAAATAAATTAAATGTTACTAACAGTTTTTTTTATATATACAAGCGATAATAGAGGAGAGAAAATTTAGAACATAAGATTTCCAACGTAAGGGTTAGTGACGCTCTCAACCACGATTTTTCGAGGTTTAATTGAATTTCTTTAAAATTGAATATGATTCATACATGGAAAAATTATTTGCTCGTATCTTTAGAAAAGAATCACTAATTTCTATGGTGAATGGAAACCTTTGGTTTCTCCACAGCCCATAACAGAAGAGGGCAGCTTTCCCACCTTCTCCACCCCTTCTTCAAACACCACCCCCATTCCCATATAGAAATGTGACTCTATATGGCAATGAAATGCCCAAACACCTGGATTATCAGCTCTAAATCTCAATGCAGTCCAACCGTAAGGATGTACCGGCACTGTGTTCTTCATAATCGGATTCACAAGATTGTACTTCCCCACATCCTTCTTGATGTCAAACTTGCCTGTCCCGTATCCCATCACAAAAATCATGTCCATGGAGATGCCACGGATGCGTCTCGCTGTTGTTCACTGTCATAGTGTTTGCATTCTGCAAAATAACATCCACCGTGCTGTTGAACCTCAACCGGTATATCCCATTGCTTGAAGTAGCATTTACATTCTCAGCAACGCCGTATATGTCGTAGTTCTCGAAGTCGTAGTTTTCCGGAGGAGGGTTTTGGTCGAAAATGCGGTTTAGGTTTACATTTTCTTTTAGGGCTACTAAGTAAGGTGTGTGGGGAAGAGAGAAAGATACATTGTTTAAGGACCATCTGTAGACTCCATCTATCTTGTTTTGTGTGTTGAGAAGCACAATCACTTTGTCTGAAGTGAGAGGAGGAGTGTGAGTGAAATTTTTGTGGGCTTTGAGTGAAAGACTTTGTGCCAATCTTTGTGCAGTTTCGTTCCATAGGGGGCCTGCGGTCGGAAGAGTTGGAGGAGATTTCTTGGGGTAGTTTGGATAGTAATTGAGGATTGCTAGGCCGGTTAGGGTTGCAGGTTTCCGACTAACAACGTTTGTAGTCATCCAGTAGTTTCTTGATGGGTTTTGGTTTGCCTTTATCAGGACAGAATAGGTCTCGCCGGAGTAAATGTATAGGTTTTGGATCTCAAATGGCTCCACATAATGCCCATCGGCTTCAACAACAGTCATCTTGTGACCCTGCATATCATTTTATTTTGTCACTAATAAATACAAGCTTTGAAATTTTTTAACATAATTGGAACTATTAGAGAATTGGTGAGTATTGAGTTATATTTACCTCAATTTGAAAACTTAGAGCTGATAGAGAGGTCAAACTACCAATCCTTAATCGGTATGTTTTTCCGGGGATTACTGTCAGAATATAGGGAGAACAATCAGGATTTGTCATGTTACAGACCCTGGCTTCTAGGCTAGGAGTTGCTAGTAGAGAGCAGTTGAATCTCCCTCTTCCATTAATCAAAAGTGACTGACAAGTTAATGGAATGTACATTACCAACAGTGTAAAGTAGTATGTACTTTTGTAATTTTGATCAATGAAAATAGGCATTTACCTGAGGCTCCCCAACCCAAACAAAAGGTATGGAGGACAAGCCAGTAGCTTGTTCAAAAGTACTTTTGTGGTACCAGTCATTAAGGATAATGCTTCTGTCATAATCATAGACAAAGGGCTCAGAAACTCCGTTAGGAACCGATACAATAATCGATCCATATAACCCGGCTTCTCTTTGAATTCCATAATGTGCATGGTATAGATATGATCCAGCCTGCAATTTAAGCCATCAAAACATGTAAGATGGATTAAAACATTGTTTATAATCATAAGCATATATAAAATCATTCGCCGAGGCTAATCCTTTGATTCATTTTCACCGAAAAATTTGCAGATACGCAAAAAAAGGGTAATGTTGTCTTTTCACAATATATATCTAGCATGTCACATCAAATTGTCAGTTTGACATCATAGAATGATCAATGGTCCAAATTGACAGTATGACAGCATAACATGTCAGATATATATTATCGAGAAAAATTCCGTGCAAATTATTGGTTCAAGCTCCAAATCTTACCCTATCCACAACAAATTTGTATATGAAGGTATCTCCAGGCAAAATAGGACATTGAGTCACACCTTCTGTTCCATCACTCCAAGGTGTTCCAATCTACAATATTAACACAACAAGAGAACAAAACTCAACATCTAAAAAGTTTGTATTCAAACGCCTACTTGAAAATGAACATCATGGTATGAAACGACGTACCTGTCGAATTCCATGCCAGTGGATCGCTACATTCTCCGTTAACAAGCTGTTCTTAAGCTCAACCACAACTGTGTCACCTTGCTGAGCCAATATTTTTGGTCCTGGGGTTCCCCCATTGATGGTTATGACCAGCTTCTTAAAGCAATCTGGAGATTTGTACTCATACTTCACATCCCATCTGTAATGCCGGATTCGACCTTCGACCTTCGAGACAGCTACCGAAAAAATCAAATGACATAAAACCAACAGCTTCACCAAAGTTCTGCATTCTAAAATCTCGACCATGTTTAATTATGCTGAAACTGTACAAACAACATTAGGCCTGGCATGTGTGTGTGTGTGTATATATATATATTGAAACATATCTTACTGAAATTTAATTAGATTTGGCTTTACATGAAACTATGTATCCAATACAGACCTTGGTCAAATAGAACGGCTCGAAGAATATTTAAAATCTGGTTGAACTTTCCAGCTTATAAATTTGCCGAAAGGATGCATGTGGAGCACATGGTTTCTTTGTAGATGAGTGTGAACAATGTATTTATTAAGATTGTTCTAAAAATCTCCCTCTAACATCGTCTGACTCCGCCTAGGTCCTAGGCCGATATTTACTGCTCTGATTAATGCCTAAGTGTTTGAAAATTAAAAAATGACACCTAGACCTGCTAAAGCACCAGCCTAGCCCACCCAAACCTGTCTACATTATGACTCATTTAGATAGAAAATAGATAATTTCTATTTTGTATTTTATTTTTTTTCAATAAATTGTAAGAGACTTGTTGCATACTTAAATAAACACACATTATATGCTTGTTCCACATGCTTTCATTATGTTCCAATACTTTTAAATGTATATGTCATTCTTTTTTGTAGTTTATAATAAAATTATATATATTTTTAGTATGAATAGACACTTTTACACGAAATATAATAGATTTATTTAAATCCACTTGATCCGCCTAGGCCCCGCCTAGCTGTCTAGGCGCTAAATCCCAACTCGCCGTCTGACTAGCGCTTAACGTCTTTTAAAACCTTGATATTAAGCGTTAAAAAGTACTTTTTCACACCTTAATATATAGTTTCTCTTACATAATACATTAAAGTAATTGATCCTTGGAAATTGAGTGCAGACTTAATAAACGAAATATAAAGCATGGATCTAAGAACTATCACCGAAGCATCTATGCACCAAAGCACACAAAGTTAGCAAAGATTTTCTTCTTTATTATACATATGCAAAAGCTTGTTTGTGACGCATTTCCATCCATGAGTGCAAATTGGAACAATATTGTCTTAAACTTAATTACATAATCTTAACACTATGCTGAATTTGACTTTGTATACCGTCAGATGATGGCCAATCTCAATGTAGAAAAAAAATGATATTTGGTAAAAGAAGAAACACTAAAAAAGAGAGCAAATTATAGTCAACAGAAAACCGCGTTACAAGATCAATTAAGATTTTAAATTTTTTTTGGTTACCTAATTAAAGTAATTTATGACAGATTACTATGATTTTCTGTCGTTGAAATATTATATTATCCACCCCCGACCCCCCACCCCCAACCCCCCACCCCGGCGTTTTTTGCACTCCCCCAGAGTCTACTTAGATTTTGGCTGTTAGTATTTTATAAATATTATTACAGTAGTGAGACAGTACTAATATCGGTTCCTACTCGTTGACTTAAAAGGCAAGAAAGAAAAAATAAGAAATAATGAAAACAGCCCTCTCTCTCTCTCTCTCTCTCTCTCTCTCTCTCTCTCTCTCTCTCTCTCTCTCTCTCTAGCAGGATGACAACAAGGTCTCACTATTATAATTTTTTGGTTTAACTGCATCATTCAAACGTTTGAAATTGAGTACAATTATCAATGACTGACTTGGGATATGATAGAGTTAATCATTGATTTCAGGGTACTTGTGTGTATTTTCATTATTTATTTTTTTATTTTTTTCTATGTGGAACATGTGGATCGAGTTTGAACCGGAAATATAATAGGTTGAATAGGTTCAACAGGTTGGAACTTAAGGCTTTATTCGACGGAGCAAGAATCCACTAAGAAGGTACTACAAATAGCAAATTGGAGGTAAAAAACAAAATATTTCTTAAGTTGCCAAGAGGCCCAAAAGAAAACCCAAGGCTCAAGTAACCAAGGCCACCTTATGC